CAGTTATGTACAAAGATTGGCCAGCAGATCTTTGTTGCCACTGAAAACTAAACGAAGACCGTTTTCCAATCAAAACCTTCAAAACCTTCAACCACTACAAGTTCACGGTTGAGTCATTCGGTCTCATTGATGCATGCAGCCGTCATTATCCAAACAGTACTGAATTGCGAACAATGCGCTCACGTGTCCTCGGATGGCATGCTGATGTATAGTCTTACCTCAGAGGGTTCATCCCTTGCACCTGCAGGCTGTCTTGGAACAGTTACGAGTCATGGGTTACGCGGAGCTTAGCAAGTGCCAATTTTTTTTTTTTTTTTTTTTTTTTTTTTTGCCACTTTGCTAAACTTAAACTGTATACCTTTCTCGGCCTTTTGGCTAAGATCAAGTGTAGTATCTGTTCTGATCAGTTTAATATCTGATCCGTGGTCCATCAGACCACAAGATATTAAATTATTTTTTCTGGGCTTCGGAGGGGTCATATGGGTAGGCTTGCCTGCTCGACCCCTCCAGCGTTGCCTCTGTATTGCACTGCAGCAGAGTGCGGCGCAGCCCTCCTCCCCTCCAGGGGAATATAAAAAAAAAAAAAAACTTAAAGTGTATTTCCCAGGACACCATGTTTCCGAGCAGGGCCTCCACATACCATTGCTACAGTCTTCCCCCGAATACAACGCACGGTCATCATAGCTGAATTTAGACTGACAGTTAGACCAAATTCAGCTATAATGACCGTGTGTTGTATTCGGGGGAAGACTGTAGTACAGAATGACCTTGAATTTCCCTCATGTCCATCGAGCAGCTTCATAGTCTCTTAGGCGTGACAAACTATTACTGCCCGTTTAATAATCAGGATTACTTTCTTTTTTTTTATTATTGAACAAGTGCTCCAGTCTATTCGTGGGGAGCAGATTACAATCTGTACTTCCACTTCCTCACCTCCACCCTTCTTTAGAAGAACGCGGCTTTTATCAGGACATCCTCCAAGGAGAACAAACAGCTACAGCGTTCGGGGATGCTGGACCTGCTTTCCAGTAGGTGCCGCTCCCCACCAATAGATGAAGTCTACCCGGGAATGCTAGTGGTTGTCTGTTCTTACCAGCACCCCTAGCATCCACTCGGGTTGTTCTTGTTTAAAAAAAAAAAAAAAAAAAAAAAAAAAAAAAAAAAAAAAAAAAAAAAAAAAAAAGAGAATGTATCTTCTGCGCCTCTATGGAGAATGTGAATTGTGCCTCCATTCTTCGTCCTTGATATTGATCATTCTTTCTACCTCACCACCAACGTGGCAACGTGTCAAATTTTGCTGTCGCGGTCATTCTTTTCCGGGTGTTTTTGTCCTCTACTCCTAGATGGATTCCCTGTATTCTCCATTCTTCCCTTAGCTACTCTCCAGCTTCGCTTTGAGTATTAGTTCGCCTCATCGCTTTCTGCAGGTGGATGGGAATTAGACGACTACCCCGTAGCATGTCGGCTATACAACAATTTGCCTGCCTAATATTTTCCCCAAATAAAATGTACGGTTTTTGTAGACTGAAAGTTATCTCGCATACAGCTATAATGTCTGTGCGTTCTATTCACGGGAAGGCCGTAGTCCTACCAGATAACCAATTGGCGGTGGATTTGCACTGGACAAGCCATAACACGGCCAGCCCCCCAACCCTTCACCAGACAAGTCAGTGCTGCACACGCACACACATATAAGATCGGTCTTCTTTGTTTTTTTTGTTTTTTTTTTCCGGGACGAGGATCCAATCTATTCGTGGTGAGCAGCACATGCTGGGAACTGGGCCGAGTGTTCCATATGAATTTTGTACAGAAAATTTTGAAGTACCCGGGCCATTACCCGGCTGCAGCTGCGAAACACAAAGGATAGGAATAACTGCCGAAGTACTTTTGAGATGGCTAAAACCTTTCTGAAATCAGAAGAAACAGGCGGTCACGAAGAATACTAACATATGCAGAAAAATATTAAAATCAGTATAACCTCTCTTCTTTTCTTTCAAGTATTTTCGTTTTGTTGTCCACTTTGTGTGCTCTCTGGTCTTCCCATGTGTTTTTCTTCTATGTATAAGTGAAAGGCGTAGGGATGTACTTGTGGTGAGAGTACGTAATGATCTGCGTTGCTCCACGTTGGATTCGTCGACTGCTTTGCCATGCTCCACTGCCCACCGCCTGTCCACTTTCCTTGTATTTCCATGCTGCTTGCCTGTTTGTCTTGTCGTTTGGCTGCGTTGTTGCCTTGCTGCCTTGTCGTTTGGCTGCGATGTTGCCTAGCTGCCTTGTCGTTGGGATGCCTTGTTGCCTTCATGCGTGCCGCTGTTTGCATTCCAGTTCGCCTGCCTTAAACTACCACTGTCTACCAGTACATGGCCCCGTACCAGTACATGGCCCCGGGCAATGTGAGAACAACAATTGACTCAATCCGAAATGTTCCGAGGCCCGGGGCAACCAGACCAAAATGGCCAGCGGTGCCGGCCAACAGAAAACAAAAACGTCGCACTGGTGTTTTGGCAAAGCTTTAAGCACAAGGACGATCAACCAGGTCTGAAAGAGACTAGGATGTACTCCAGCCAACTTGAGAATCACGATGGAGTCGGTCCTGAAATTTCGGAGTCTCCGGGCAACCAGACCAAAATGGGAGGCGGCGCCAGCGAAAACAGAAACAAAAACGCTGTGCTGGCATTTCGCCAAAGCTTGGCACACAGGTGGAATCTGCCTCATAAAAAAAGAGTCCTGGACGTACTGGTGGTTCAAGCCTCACCGCCTTTATTTCGCCTCGCTGCCTTGGTGACTTGCTGCCTTGCTGCCCCAATGTTTGCTGCCTTGTTGCCTTGTAGCGTCTAACTACTTTGTTGCCTTGCTGCCTTGGTACCCGCTGCTCATCGGGTCCCACTGCCGCTGGCTTGTGGGTTGGCTGCTTTGTCAGTGCGGCCTTCTTGTCTCGTGGCCTCTTGCTTTGGTGCTTTGGTGCTTTGTTGCTTTGTTGCTGTACTGCTTAGCTCCCGTGCCGCCTGCTACTTGTCTTGTCATATGTCTTCTTGGTTCCTACCCACCTCCCCCCTGCCCTCCAGCCTATGTGCTTCGCTGTTGCCCACCATCCGATGCGTCGTTGCCTCACTCTTACCTACCTGGTCGATTTGTTAACTGCCTGGCAGCTGACTCGCAACAAGGCTTGAAGTAGTTCAGCACTCAAGCATCAATATGAGGATTCTACAGACGGTCGATGATTCAGCCTCCTGATGAGTTGGCGCAAGTCCGAAAAAACAGTCTGCCATTCAGCCGTTGCGTCGTCATTTTTGTTGTTCTTGTTAAATGTGTTGTGTGAGTGATGATATACAGCCTTTGTTAAGTGTGCATGATGGGGTCTGCGGGTGATATGCTCACTGGTGTGTTAGTCTGGAAATATTGGAATGCATCTTTAGGAGTTCGTAGATTGCTACGCTGGGTGAAAGTTTTGTCTCAATTGGGTATTCACACTGAGGGCTGTGAGGGAATAATGGCCGTAGACTGGTCTTCATGAGGGGTGGTGGTTTAGACGATGGCACATGCTGGAGCAGAGAAATCATGTCTTACATACTCACACGTGCATCTCTCCTCCCCCTCCCTGCAATTATGCGGCAGCAATTATGCAATTATGCTCCAGCAATTATGCGGCAGCAATACTTCTGCTGCAGCAGAAGTTCATCTTCACTGCAGATTGAATTTCATCTCCACAATTTTGCAGTCCGACAAACTTTTATCTCCAGTGCATATTTCTGCTGCACTTGCGATGAAGTTCATCTGCAGCAGTACTGCTTCATCTGCAGCAGAAGTAAAAGTAAACTTTTGCTTTGCTGTTTTATAGGTTTTTTATTTTGTTTTTTCGGTTTTTTGTTTTGCAGTTAGTAACTATGGTATCTACTCTATGACTTGGTGGCAAGTTTGGTTAAAATGACCCCCTTGGATTTTGTTCTAAATGGCATGACAAGTTGTCTGAAAATTAGGGTCTCCGTTAACCGCCTCTCCAGAAGTACTGCTTCATCTACAGTGCACCTAAGTTCGTCTGCACTGCAGATGAGTTTGTTTGCTGTGTTGTACTGCAGACGAAGTCCATCTGCAGTGCATGAATCAGTGTCTGAGCAGAGAAACTTCCTATCCATCTGTTCTGCCAGTCGAAAGGTCAGATGAAGTTTCACTGCTGCAGACAACCTTCACAGTGCTCATCCACAGCGGAAGTTTGCTTCATCGGCCGTGCGGCATTAGTTCCTCTGCACTGCAGACAAAGTCCGTCTCTTATGCTACTCCGCAAATGAAAATTCATCTGCAGTGTATGAGCCGACGCAGCAATTGCTCATCCCGCCTGGACCTCCCCCCTGCCACAAACATGTTTAGCGCACTCCCTGAGGCCGGCCAAAGTGGTCCTACCGGGCCACAATGGCCCAATATAAGCCTGCAAGAAAATGTGCAGGCAACCCCTGGGTGCCTATGTACTTTGCTTACATGAATATGTTTTTTTTTTTTTTTTAATGTAGGCAACCCCCCATACATTTCCGGCAGTCAACACAGGTCAAATCCACTTTAAAAACATTGAATAAAGCTGAGTAAAAATTTGGGCAAAAAAAAAGAAGAAAACGGAAATTTTGAGGCAGATTACCCGCTGCTGATAAATATATCTGCATCGGTTCTGCAACCAATCGTACGCTTTGGCTTTCGACTGTAACTAGACAACCTGTTTGTCGAAGAAACCCTACTCCGCAAAGCGATTTTCAAAACGCCGACTTTGTCGCTGCACAAACAGCCAATCAAAAAAGTCCCCGAAGCATAAGGGCAAACACTGTACATGCTAAACATTTTTGGGAGTCCCTATGCAGTAATGAAGCAGTTAGAAAGATCTGCATCACTGTGAAGTTGAAAACAGTGTAAATGCATTAGAGTCATGATTAGACACAGACCAGAGGAATGCAAGCAATGGAAAAAAGAACGAGGAGAAGAGCAAACTTGCAAACACAACACCAGCAAACTTGTTAACACTGTAATGGCCGAATAATGACTGCAATCTTGCAAAGACAACACCAGCAACGGAGTTGACAAGCAACGCAGAAAAGAAAAAGAACAAGGAAACAGTGAAACACCCATCTCGCCTAAAGGAATTGCTGGAGAGAACGGGAGGAGGAGGAGATAATACTCACAAAAGGGATCAAGGCCTCATTCTACAGGGTATGGACAAAGTGATACCGAATACAAAAGCTCCATTGTGCAAGACACAGATAGACAGTGAATGCAGAGTGGAAAGACAGACGGATGAGGGAGAGGGGTAGAGGAGAAAAGAGGGGAGGAGAGCAGGTGCAAAAATGAGGTAAGGCAGGAGGATGGACAGGAAGACAGAAGAGGGAGCGGGTGGTCTGGGGCGGAGGGGGGTGGAGAGAGAGAGAGAGAGAGAGAGAGAGAGAGAGATGCTCAACCGCCAGTCCTAAAACAACGCTTGTGACATCTTTTTTCCTTTCAGAAACCTCAAATGCTGCTGCTGCTGTGTGTGAGAGAGAGAGAGAGACGGAGAGAGGGAGCGATGTGTAACCACCAGAGTCCTAAAACACCGCTTGTTGAATGTTAGAAACCTAAAATGCTGCTCTTCCCATCGTTTTCCCATCAAGCCCAAACCTCGTGAGCGATTCTTCATCCTCTCGCCACCCTTCTTTTACCTTGACCCTGAGCTGCAATTCCATGCAAGTTCCACAGCAGTTCATTTTTCACAAACCGAGCACAACAGTGAGGAATTCGCCTGTCACAAGGTGTCCAAACATGCAAAACGGAAAAGAGCAAGTGACCACACACAATGGAAACGAAGTTACAACCATGTTCCATGTTCCCACAGGGGTGGAAACATGGCATGGCACAGGAGGCTAGAAAGTATCACCCTTTTTTCGCAGGCAGTTTACTAAAGCATTCGAGGAGGGAGAGGCGAATGAAGCGCACAACCAAACGATAGTTTGTCTTTTAGAGGGCAAGGAGCATCTTAGTTTTCCGCACTTCACCACGTTTACCTTGTTGGCTACCACTGAAAGGTACAGCCAAGTAAGTCTGGACAAGATTTCAAACCTTGTCATGCACATACCGCCAACCCTCATCTCTCTTTTAAACAGTCTCTGTAACTCAGAAATAAGCAATTGTCAATCACTTCCGTATCTCCATTTATTGACAGCAAGGCAAGTAAATAACACTGGAAAATGTCTCAGAGCCTACAGTACTCGTAGTGACCTTGCTCCCAAAGGACTGTACACGGGTGTCAATTCCATCCAGGTGCCTTTCCATGTAATAGGCCATAGAAACCATGCACATACAATCATACAGAGGGCACTGAGGTCGTTGAAATCATTTTTCTCCGCGAGTAGGCTCAAGGATTATTGCCCTCTTCTATAGGCCTGAACTGCAGATGAAGCCAGAGGCATCGGTTGGCAACGTGGTATAGATCAGTTTCCATTTGCATAGAGATCCGTCATTGAATCTCCGGTACCTACTACCCATTAGGTTGTATAGAAAGGAGAGAGAGAGAGAG